AGAAATTAGCACCACTAAAAATAAATAACAACAGCCCAGATTTTTATTTTTTTTGTCCCCCAAAGGCACCATGAGCAAACAGCCCTCCTGTCTTGGCTTATGGGTACCAGCTCTGCTCTCACCCTCAGTGATGTGCTACCCTTTCCTCAAGCCTATTTTGGGGTGCAGATCTGCACCAGCCTCCACAGAGTGCTGCCCTGAGCAAGGCAGGAGGTTTGGCACAGCCTGGCACAGCTCAGCCCCAAATACCCCCAGGTTTGCTGTGCTGCTCCCAGAGCCATCCCCCCTCCAAATTTCCCCTCATGGGGAGCTCACCCCGTCCTGCTATCCTGCTTTGAGCATCTCCTCAAACAGCCTGAAGTGCTGCTGTGGGGGCTGCCAGCTGTGCCAGCTGTGCCAGCACAATGTTTGTGTTGGCTCCGCTCTGCTCTGCTTTGCTCTGCTCTGCTCAGCTCTGGCACAGCAGCCCTGAGCAGGAGGATTTGGGGGTGTTGGGGGATGAGCAGCTCAGCATTCCCCAGCCATGTGTGTTGGACCCAGAACCCTCAGGTGATCCCCCAGCCTGAGCAAGAGGGCATGGGGGGATTCCCTGCTCAGGTGAGACCCCACCTGCAGATCTGCCCCGGCCCTGGGCTCCAGCATCAGGAGGATTTGGAGCCAGGCTTGGAGAGATGGGGGTGCTCACCTGGAGAAGAGAAGGCTCCAGGGAGAGCTCAGAGGCCCTTCCAGGGCCTAAAGGGGCTCCAGGAGAGCTGGAGAGGTACTGGGGACAAGGGCCTGGAAGAACAGGATAAGAGGAAATACCTTCCCACTGCCAGAGGGCAGGGATGGATGAGATATTGGAAGGGATTGTTCCCTGTGAGGGTGCTGAGGCCCTGGCACAGGGTGCCCAGAGCAGCTGTGGCTGCTCCTGGATCCCTGGGATTGTCCAAGGCCAGGCTGGACAGGGCTTGGAGCAACCTGGGATGATGGAAGGTGTCCCTGCCACAGCAGGAGCTGGAATGGGATGGAATTCAAGGTCCCTTCCTACCCAAACAATTCCCTGACTCTGTGATTACTTTTGCACATACACCAGGACACATTCCCTGCTCCACAGGTGAGGGACACGTTCCCATAACACACCCAGTGCTCATCCCTGGATTCCTGCTCAATCTCATTGCCCTGCCAGGAATGAGACCCAGCACACCCATCCCATCCCATCCCATCCCATCCCACTCCCAGGTCCCCTTTCCATGCTGCCATGCCCCACAATCACTGCAAACTCCTTAATGTTATTTTTTTAAATCCATTTTAGGGCTTGGGCAGGAGCAGTTGCACTCCTGTGGATTTATGCAGTTTCTTGGGAATAAATCCAACAACTTGGCTTTCTCTTGGTGCCTTTACCCTGGGCAGGAATGTGAGCAGGTCCCTGCCCCTGCCTGTCCCACACAGGAGGAAGTGTCACCCTCTTCCCAGGAGCTCACAGATCCTTTCTGAGCCCCCATTTACCTTTTCCATGGGTAAAACCTTGGGCTCAGTTGCCCGGGTGGGGATAACGAAGTAACAGACTGGGAGCTGGGAGGCTCCTATTTATAAGCTCCTCTGCATCCTATTTTGCATCTGCCTCTGCTCTCCCCGCTCCTCCTCAGCACGGGCAAGCCATGGGGTTGCTATTTATTTTCTGTTTTCCTTTATTGTCATCAAATAAGCAGCGAGGATTTTTCCTGGCAGAGCTGGGGAAGCCAGGAACAGGCTCCTTCTGGGTAGAGCAATTACTCTCCTGACATCTTCACCTCCTGCCCGCCTGCCTGACAGGCCTTTCTATTTCCTCAGCTCTCTCAGGCATCTCCCAAGAAACAGAGCAGTTGTTGCAACAATAAAAATTAATACTTTGCAAGCAAGCTGGGATCGTGGTGCAGCCTCCACGCAGTGCTGGACTGAGAGTGTTCAAGGGGGAAAAGAGAAGGAAGGAGCTGAGTCTGGAGCAGGGAACTGCTCCCAAATCCCAAAGGCTGCTCTGGTTTGGCTCCTTGCACAGGGGTGGGTGGTCACAGGGTCTCAATCTTAGTCCCAAAGAGGGCAGAGGAATGTGAGGACCCCATCAGGGCAGCCTGGTGTCACCCAGCACCTCTGGAGTGTTCCACGCCAGGCTGGGCAGAGTTTGGAGCAGCCTGGTCTGGAGGAAGCTGTCCCTGCCCTTGGCCCTTCCAACCCAACCATTCCATGGCTCCATCATCTCTGGTCCCGTTCCCACTGCTGAGCATCACACGTGTCCCCATGGTGGGGAGAGGGACAGGGGGCCCTGGAGATCTATGGGGTCTCACCCTGCTGAGCGGCCCACTGTCCCTGGGAGGGTGGGCAGACCCTGGCACAGGTGCCCAGAGCAGCTGGGGCTGTCCCTGGATCCCTGAAAGTGTCCAAGGCCAGGCTGGACAGGGCTTAGAGCAGCCTGGGATGGTGGAATGTGTCCACAAGTCCCAGCAGGAGCTGGAATGGGATGGAATTTAAGGTCTTTTTCTACTCAAACAATTCCCTGACTCTGTGATTACTTTTGCACATGACCAGGACACATTCCCTGCTCCACAGGTGAGGGAGACATTCCCATAACACACCCAATGCTCATCCCCGGATTCCTGCTCAATCCCATTGCCCTGACAGGAATGAGACCCAGCACACCCATCCCATCCCATCCCATCCCATCCCATCCCATCCCATCTCATCCCATCCCATGGATCCCATCCCATGTCTCCATGCTGCCATGCCCCCACAATGACTGCACACCCCTTGATATTATTTTTTTTAATCCATTTTAGAACTTGGGCAGGGGCAGTTGCACTCCTGTGGATTTATGCAGTATTTTGGGAATAAATCCAACAATTTGCCTTTCTCTTGGTGTCTTTAGCCTGGGCTGGAACGTGAGCTCCCAGCAGATCCCTGAACACAGATAAGTCCTGCGAGGATATTCAGGGGAAGTATCGTATATTCCTGCTCTATTCTTATCTTCCTCTCCAGGCTGCCAATTTTGGCCACTGTTTGAGATAAAAACCTGGCCTCCAGAGATATTTACAGGTCTGCTCTGATCCACTACAGCTCCTCTTCTAATCTTACCCAGGGATTAACCTGTGCTAAGTCGCCCCCAAAACCAACCCAGACCCCACCTAAAAATAACAACAAGCTGTTTTCTCCCTCTGCATCCCCCAAATCCTGCTCAGGAGAAGGCGGGGAGGAAGAGGGACAAGATGCAATGGGTTTTTCAGCAGTTTGGTGCCTCCCACTGAAATCCCTCCATCTCCCTTTCGGGGCTGGGCTGTTTTAGAGGAGCTTTTTGCACATTAGTCATCCCTTCTCCAGGGTTGCATAACGCCCCAGCTAAAAATTGCATCCTGCCAGCTCCGTGGCAGCTCCTGCCCAACCCTCCTGGCTCTGCTGGGGATCAGATTTTGGGGGGTCCACCAAGGGTTTTCCACCCCAAGCAACCACTCTGGCACTGGAGCTGAGGGGGCAAAGGCAAGGATGGGATCTGCTGGGATCTGTGGCTGCTCTGGGTTTAATTCTCTACCTCCAAGAGACTCAAACCCCAAAGTCTGAGCACCTTGATCTGATCCTTCTGCAAAACCAGGGTTTCATCTCTAAAGTCAGCTCACGACCTTGGATAAATCATTTAAGAGCCAAACACCACTGAAGCCATGGAGGGTGGCCTTGCCTCTGGCAGGGGCTGGGGATATTCCAGCTCCTCCTGCTTCCAGAGGGAAGGATGAGCCAGGGGAGCACCTGCACGGTGCTGCTGCTCCCAGCCCTTTGCCCAGTTCATGGAATTTTGGGGGATTTATGAACCTGCCCTGTTACCCCTCCATCAGCTGCAGGAACCCAAGGAATGCAGCTGCACCCAACACACACTCCCATCCCAGGTGCTGCTGGTGAGGGATGGATCAGCACCAGAGCCCAGGATGGATGCAGCTCATCCCAATTCCTCCCCAAATCCACAACAAGTCTGCCTCCAGCACCAGCTCCTGACATCCATCCCCAAAATCCAGCCCAAGGCACCAAAAGAATTTGGTTCTTTCACCTCTTTTCTGCTTCCCTTTGGGTCCTGCACAGCTGGGACAGGGAGGGAGGGAGGAAGGGAGGAAGGGAGGGAGGGAGGGAAGTAAAGAAGAAAGAAGAAGAAAGAAGAAGAGAAGAGAAGAGAAGAGAAGAGAAGAGAAGAGAAGAGAAGAGAAGGGAAGGGAAGGGAAGGGAAGGGAAGAGAAGAGAAGAGAAGAGAAGAGAAGAGAAGAGAAGAGAAGAGAAGAGAAGAGAAGAGAAGAGAAGAGAAGAGAAGAGAAGAGAAGAGAAGAGAAGCCCAAAGGGGCCTGGTTTGCTCCTCCTGGCAGCTCCTTCTCCACACCAAGGGAAACTGAGGCACAGGAAACATGGGGTGGAGCAGGAGGGTCCTGGCTGTGGGATCTGCCAAAATCCATCCCAGCTTCTTTCTGGTGCAGGGACCATGAAATCACAGAATCCTTAAAGTTGGAAAAGAGCTCCAAGGTCATCAAGTCCAACCTCACCATTCCCTGAGCACCAGATCCAGTTTGGCCATGATGGAGGGGAAGGGTTTGAGCCCAGAAAAGCTCCTGGGGCTCTCTGCTCTTCAAACACTTCCAAATCTAAGCTCTCCTCCCCAGAAAATCCCTGGGCTCCAGCCCTGACTTGCTCAGAGTGAGGAAAGAGGCCAAGAGAGCACCAAGGGGGATTTGAGAGCAGGGCTGGACACCCCAAACCAACCCCTTGCAGCCACCCAAGGCCCAAACCCCTCCAGGGAGGCTGAGCTGGACAGAACTGAAATAAGACAGGGACTGAAGGGTTTGTTCTAGTTCAGGAAGACACCTGAGATCATCCAAAATCATCCCAAAAACCGATACAGGTGAGCAAAACCAGCAGTGCCACAGGGAGTTTGACCCTCACAGGATTGGGGAGAGCCTGGCTCAAACCCAGCTCCCATCCCCGTGGGAATGCTCTGGAATCACCACCTCATATCCATCCCAAAAAAGGATTCATCCCACATCTATTTAGGCATCATTTTGCCTCAAATCTCTCTCTCAAATCCACTCCAGCAGCAGCTTTGCCAGGGACCTTTATTCCTCTTGCCACCACTTCCCAGCTCTTCATGGGAGCATCCATAGCTATCATCCCAGCCTCTGTGTGCTCCCTGACCCCGCTTCCAGGGCCCTCCAGCCTCCAGGGGATCTCAAGGCTGGTTTCCAAGGCCCTCAGGCCCATCCTGAGGTTGGAAGGAGAAAGAATAAGTAGAATTTAGGCAGAAAAAGGCACAAAACAAGAGGGGAACCACTGCTGGGCAGGGAATAGAGGTTTATTCATCTGTTGCCTCCAGAAACTTGAGGCTGCTTTTAAAAAAAAACCAAACAACATAAAACCTAAAAATATATGAATTCAGCCATTCCCAGCACAATGAGATATAATTTCATGAGTCAACTTGTCCTCCTTGTGTTTCCACCACCCTTTAGCCCAACACAAATGGCCCACGGGAGGGAGGGCTCAACACCAGAGGGAATTGCAGGGTTTATTTAGGATGAATAAGGTTTCAAAGAGGGGGAAAACCACCCCAAAACCTCCTCCAGCGACTGCCCATCCACATGGACACCAGACAAGCTCAGTGGAGACGTGATGGAGGAACTGGAGAGGGGGTCAGAACCAGCTCCTGGGGGATGGAGATGTCCCAGCTGGGGCTGCTCGGCGTGGTGGGGAGCAGAGGGACCCCCGAGGTCCTTTAGAGGATGGAGGGCACGGGGGAGCAGGGGTGCTGCAGGGAGCAAGGGGAGCTGCAGCGGGAGGCCAGCGGAGCCCGGCGCGCCGCTCCTCCGTCAATGCTGCTCAGGCTCCGCGACTTTCCACAGCCTCGGGACAGAAAACAGACAGGTTAGAGCCCAGCAGCCTCCTGCCCAAAGCCGGCAGCACCAGGCTGAGCCCCACACCCCGAGCAAACCCCCTTAAAAAAAATTCAGGAAGGGATTTTTGGGGATAATCAGGCTCTTGCAGAGCTTCCCACGCCCTTCACGGCCAAATCCAGAGTTCGGAGTCATCAATGAGAGACCAAATTGCTCTGGGAGGGTGTTGGGTTTTTGTTTCCCAAATTGCTCTGAATGAGGAATGAGTCTGGGGATTTTGTGGGCTGAAGCAGACGGGGGAAAAGCAGCAGAACTCAAACAAATATGGGATTTGGAAGGAGTGATTCCCCCAGCTCTGGTTTTTACACCCCTGTAGCAGCAGGCTGCTGCTGACACCTTTCTGTGTGCAAAGGAGCAGGTAGACATGCTCATTCTTTTCCATTAGAAATTGCATTAAAGAGCAAATATTTCTGTTTCTTTAAGCATGGGGACACTTCACACTACCCCAAAGAGCCAGGAATTTCTCCAGCTTTTATTGAACAAGGAAAAGTTCTCACAGGTCAAAAGCCACTTTTCTTGCTGGGAAGACACAAAGTCTTTGCACTGAAAATTGGATTTTTAGATCCACAAAGCACCACTGCTAAGGATGAGTCCGTTCCCTGGATCTGCTGCCAAAACATGGAAAATTAATGATGCTCCCAGCTGTGATGTGCCCAATGTCCCTGTGCCTGGACCTTCCCTGGGAGCACCTGGCTGAGCAAACCCAGCCAAGCCTGAGCCTTTTCAAGGCACCAGCAAGATCCATGGAAAGCAAGGAGCAGGGAAGCAGCCTTTGTGTGGGGGGAGCAGAGGGAGGCAGCTCCTGACAGCAGAAAAACAAGGTGATGGATGGTTCCTTCAGCAGTGCCAGCCTTGGAATCCCTCCCTGTGCCCCAACCCAGGAGTTCGTGGCACATCTTTGGGCTCTGCTGGTTTGGGTTTCGATCAGGGATCAAGACCCACAGCAGAGCAGTCCCAGCATCACCCTCACACACCCCCAGGAGGGTGCTGAGAAACATCACCTGGGAAAGGCTCCAGAGCACTTACTACCTCTGCAAATCTGGGGCTTGTCCCCTTCATTGGGTTTTCCCAGCCCCAGCAGGGATTCTCCAACCCCAGCCCCCCCAGGACACTCAACCCCTCCAGCTGTGCAGCAGAGGCAGGTCCAGGGGGCAGAGGGACTTGCCTAAACCTGTTGCTGACTCCAGCACAGCTTTCCCTCCCTGCAGTGGAAGCGGGAGCAGCAGCAGGCCTGAGCAGAAGAGCAATTTCCTTATTTATCCTTGGCATGGATCCACGCAGAGAGAGAGGAGGGAACCAGCACAGGCTGAGCTGGGGGGAGCTGGGAGTTTCCCACCCACAGCAGCTGATGCAGAGACCACCCTGCTCCCCACAACACTCCCAAAAACTCATTTTTCCTTCCCCTTGCTCTTTTCCCTGGGTGTGCTGAGCTCTCGGAGGAGCACACGCATTTCCCTGAGTGTGGGAAGCAGCTGTGCTGAAATCCAAGTGGTCCCTGAGAGCTTGGGGTAACTCCAGGACCCAAACAGCCCCACAGGAGGTGTTATGGGGTCAGGGATTGGTGGGAGCTGCCAGCAGGGCCCTGATGATGGGTTTATGGGGTTTATGGGATGGGCTTTGCCCCGGCTCCAAACTCTGAATAGAAAATTCAGGTTCAAAGAGGGGTCAAAATCCCCCTGCTCACTCTGATTAAGTCTCAACCATCACATTTTGGGGCAGAACTTCATAAAGATGTTTGATTTCCCCACGGACCCTCTGCAATGGAGCATGAGGGGCAAACCTGCCCCAAGCCCAACACTTCATTCTCCCCATCAGTTTATCCCAAGCCACACTTGTAGGAGCACCTGGGAAGGAGCTCAAGACTCAGTCCCTCAAGGCTGTCGTGGTCTGCCACCACACCCAGGGCTGGATAAAGCCACAAGTGGACAAGGGGGTTGTGCTCTGCTAATAAACAGAGCTGGTGTCCCAGTAACTCACCCTGGGGCTACCCAGAGTCCCTGGGATCACTTTAGGAACTTTAGGAACAGGTTTCCTGCCAATAAAAGAGTGCTGGGTGACCCCAGGGCTCCCTGCAACTCTGAGTGCTCACACAGGCACAGGCTGGGAGCTGTGCCAGAGGGATGGGGTAGAGCAGAGAGGCAGCAAAGGAAGGCAGGAAAAGGAAAGCAAAGAAGGAAAGCAAAGGCAGCACCAGGAATGTGCTGCAGCTGGGTACAGAGGCCTGGCACTCAGCTCCTGTGGGGTTGGGGACAGGCCTGGCACAGAGATCCTGTGGGGTTGGGGACAGACAGATGCCTGGCACACAGCTCCTGTGGGGCTGGGGACAGACAGATGCCTGGCACTAAGCTCCTGTGGGGTTGGGGACAGACAGAGGCCTGGCACAGAGATCCTGTGGGGTTGGGGACAGACAGAGGCCTGGCACTCAGATCCTGTGAGGTTGGGGACAGAGGCCTGGCACACAGCTCCTGTGGGGTTGGGCACAGAGGCCTGGCACACAGATCCTGTGGGGTTGGGGACAGACAGAGGCCTGGCACACAGATCCTGTGGGGTTGGGGACAGACAGAGGCCTGGCACACAGATCCTGTGGGGTTGGGCACAGAGGCCTGGCACACAGATCCTGTGGGGTTGGGGACAGACAGAGCCCTGGCACACAGCTCCTGTGGGGTTGGCGACAGGCCTGGCACTCAGCTCCTGTGGGGTCCTGTCCCTGTGCAAATGTTGGCTGGTCCTCAGTCCCCCCCGGCCAGGCAGCTCCAGAGGATGTTCCCATGAGTGTTCCCAGCTTGATCCCATCCCACATGCTCGGGCCATGTGGGAGTCACAGCCCTGCACTGACACCAACATTGAAAATCAGCTGCACCATGCTCTACAAAGCCAAAAATTGCTGCTGTGCCATGTTAATAAAGCAGCTGGAGTGTTTTAAGACACACACAGATGTGGCACTTGGGGCCATGGGTTAGTGGCCAGGTGCTGGGGGGAGGTTGGACTCGTAGAGCTCTTTTCCAGCCCAGGTGATTCCATGGTTCCACCCTCACCAGTCTCACTGGCTGGACTCTCCCTGCCTCTATGTCCCTCCACCCAAAGAGAGGACAGGGCTCTTGTGCCAAGGCAGGTGTCTGAGCCAGCAGGACACTTTTTTGGGAAGTGCTGGGAAGGACCCCAGTGCTGAGGGGACATAAAGGCTCTGAAGCCATCCCTGGCAGCCAGGGAGCAGAGCAACACCACTGCAGGCAGCCACAGGAGCAAAAACACATTCCCCACAGGAATCCACAGCCCAATCTGCTCCAGGCTCAAGTACAAGGGCAGGAGCAGCTCCTCTCTCTGAGCTGCCCCAACAAGACCAACCCAGAGTTGGGGTTAAACCACAATGGATGTTGAGATCTGCAGCTCATTCCCAAAGCAGCTCCCTCCCCTGATTTCCACAGCTTGCACAGACACCAGTACCTGTCCCAGGATCTGACAGATGGCCATCTGAGAGTCGGGCTCAGAACCAAGCTCATCTCAATTTGCAGAGCTGCCAACATCCCAGTACCAGAACAAACAGCCTCAGCAGGAGATAAATCAGGACCCAGGCAAGAGGAGCCTCTGCGGCTCCCAAGGGATTTTGGCTAGAGGCTGCTTCACCCCCTGGTCACCTCTGGCCATCTCTGGTCATCTCTGGTCACCTCTGGTCATCTCTGGTCACCTCTGGTCATCTTTGGTCACCCCTGGACATCTCTGGTCACCTCTAGACACCTCTGGACACCTTTGGTCATCTCTGGTCACCTCTGGACACCCAGAGCATTTCACAAGGCCCAGCCCTAACCTCCCAGGACAGCCTCCCACCATCTGTCCCACACCCAAGTAGGACAGGGGCACTGAGGTTCTCCTTCTCAAAAGGTCTCAAGCACCTCTGGAGCCCCTCTGGAGAGCAGATCCAGATTTCTTCAGGTGCAGCATCATTCCAGCAACATGGGGATGAGTGCCCCGTGCACAGCTCCTGTTTGGAAGTGTAAAAGGCACTCTGAAATTTGCAGGGGAGACCCCAGAACACCCCAAGAAGCATCACCACAGTGCTCTTTCAAAGAGCTGCTGTGCCACCACACGAGGACAGAAATCTCCTGGGATGGGATTTGTGAGTGAGTGAAAGCAGCTCTGGATCCTCAACTCTCCGAGCTGCTCCACTTCTCCTGGCTTCAGTGGGACCAGATTCAAATGCCTCAGCTGAAGCCTGGCTCCAGCATTTGCTGAGGAGGAAAATCAGCTCTGGTTTCATCTGTCTCCTCCATCCCTCCAGCTCAGCATTCCCCCTCCCAGTCTGGAGTGGGACTAAACCTCTCTCCCCTCTCCACATTCACAGGAAAAGGCACTTCCAGGGAAAATACATCAGGCATTTCCAGCAGATATTTGATGGCACCCCAAGGATGAGAAGAGCTGTTCCTCTTTGTCCTCTTTCTGAGGCTGAGCAGCAATGCCAAAGGGAATCCTTGATTTCCCAGGAGGAAACAACCAACTTGCTCCTACTACTGATAAATGTGATTGCACCCAAACACCTCCCTCTGTCCCATCAAAAATAACAAACCCTTCAAAGCTCCTGGGGAGCAGCTCAGAGATGCAGCACATCATCCCTGCTCCTGCCTGGTCCCAGCTCCCTGTGAGCAATGGGCAGCACTTGGTACCAGGAGGTAGAAGTAGGTCAACTCTGCAGCTACAGCATCCCACACCAGCCTGGACACACAAACCCCTGCACAACTGGGAAACTGAGCTGTGCCCTAGGAGATATCCCAGAAATCCAGGGGTGCAGCTGGGTTTTAGGGCTGAATTTACCCTTTCTGGGGCTGGAGTGCTGAGAGATGGGCAAAGGAGCAGAGAACTCTGAGACCAGGTTGAAGAAGATCTTGTTTTGTCATGGGAAGAAGAGTTTTGTGTTTTCCTGACTCATCTCCCCATCAGTTTCCCATGGAAAACCTCAACACACAGCACAGCTCCTGTTCCAAGCCCAGAGGAGCCTTTCTGGCAGCCCTGAGCTGCCCTAAGAGTTATCCCAGCAATCCAGGGTGCAGCTGAGTTTTGGGGCTCTGGATTTATCCTTTCTGGGGCTGGAGTGCTGAGGGATGGGCAAAGGAGTAGAGAACTCTGATACCACTGTTGGGGAAGATGAAACAGGAAAGCCTTATAAATATGATTGTCTGGCAAAAGATTTTGAGAATATAGAAATTATAAGCGAGATTGAAATGAAAGCAAGCTTTGAGATACCTCAGTTACTGAACAACTGGAAAACAATGGTGTGGCCAGCTGAAGATAATCCCCTTTGGATGGAACAACACCCTCTGCTTGCAGACAGCCCCAAGGGTCAGAGCAGACCCTACAGCTTGGCAGAAGGGGCCCAAAGAGGAGTTTTTAGGGTTTAAAATGGAACACAGTGTGGTAATGTAATGATTCTTATAGGCTGTATGGAAATGCTGTAGGATTTGTATCTTGTACTAGATTGGTTAGTGAGAATTAGAATATTCAGCACAGAAGAAGATTTATGGTAATGTAATGGGAACCTCGCTGTCTTACCCCTTTTACTCTCTTACCCTTTTACTCTCTCACCCTCTCATCCTCTCTGCCCCTCTCTTCTCTCAGTCCTGCTCCAGCTGTGGCTGGCAGCTCCCAGCAGGGCCCTGCACCCAGGCCCTTTGCAATAACCCACAAGTTCCCAGCCCTGGCTGCAGAGATCTCTCATCTCCATCCATCTCCCCGATGCTCCTACAGACCAGGTTGAAGAAGATTTTGTTTTGTCATGGGAAGAAGAGTTTTGTGTTTTCCTGACTCATCTCCCCCTCAGTTTCCTATGGAAAACCTCAACACAGCACAGCTCCTGTTCCAAGCCCAGAGGAGCCTTTCTGGCAGCCCTGAGCTGCTGGCAAGGCAGCACTGACACATCTCAGCTCCCCACGCTCGAACCCACCAAAAGCCACCACAGGGGAGAGCAGGGAAAAAGACTCTGGGGTTTTTTTTTTCCCTACTGAAAACCTTTTGGTCACCTTCAGTCACAACCTCACCGTGTCCCCAGGAGAGATGTCCCACACACACCATCCAGAAATGAGGGGTTGAAACCCAGGGAGAAGAGCTGCAGGGGGAGAGGTTGGAGCACTGTGCACCCAAGAAGGGCAGAGCAGCCAGCACGGGGTCACAGACCCCAAATAGGGGTCACAGAACCCAAATGGAAATCACAGACCCCAAATGGGAGTCACAGACCTCAAATGGGAGGTACAGACCTCAAATGGAGTCACAGGCCCCAAATGGAGGTCACAGACCCCAAATGGAGGTCACAGGCCCCAAATGAGAGTTATAGACCTCAAATGGGAGGTACAGACCCCAAATGGAAATCACAGACCCCAAATGGGAGTCACAGACCCCAAATGGGAGGTACAGATCCCAAATGGAGTCACAGGCCCCAAATGGGGGTCACAGAACGCAAATGGAAGTCACAGACCCCAAATGGGAATCACAGACCCCAGATGGAAGTCACAGACCCCAAATGGGAATCACAGACCCCAAAGGGGAGTTACAGATCCCAGACAGGGGTGACTGGGGAGAACACTGGGGAGGAGAACACAAAGTGTGGAGACAGCACGGAGAGATGTGTTGGGTGGAGGTGAAGCAGATGGAGGGGCAGGAAGATGTGGGTTTGGGGAGCAGAGGACAGCCAGGCAAGTGGATGGAGATGAACCAGTCTTGGGTCAGCCCAACAAACCTACACTCCACCTCCACGTGTCCTGCTCACACCTCCAACCATTTTACCTTTCTGGATGCCTCCATCTGCTGCACAGGAGAAGTCCCCCGTGGCCAGCAGGAAGCATGTGGAGGATTTCTTGTTCTTGTCCCGGGTGCTGGAGCGCCGCATCGGCCGCTGCTCCTCGTCCATGGGGGACAGCGGCTGCTCCTCGTCCGACAGCACCACGTTGGCCTCCCCGTTCTGCTTGGAGTCTGCAGGGAGGGAGGGAGGTGCCACAGAGCCATCAGCAGCTGGCAAACTGTGAGAGTCTGTCTGAATTTTCCCTCATCTGCCTCACGATCGTCATTTGGGGACCACTGAAGAGAAGACCCCCCTCTTGTAGACATCTTTTATGAAAAATCCTTTCCTAAAGATTTTTCCTCCTGAAAAGCTGAGAGGCCTCAGGAACAAAATGTAAACAATGCGTATCTGCTGCTGTGGAATGCAACAGGTGCATCTGTGATTGGTCTCATGTTGGTTGATTCTAGTCAATGGCCAATCACAGTCAGCTGGCTCGGACTCTCTGTCCAAGACAGAAGCTTTTGTTATCATTCCTTCTTTTTCTATTCTTAGCTAGCCTTCTGATGAAATCCTTTCTTCTATTCTTTTAGTATTATTTAATGTAATATATATCATAAAATAATAAATCAAGCCTTTTGAAACATGGAGTCAGATCCTCATCTCTTCCCTCATCCTCAGACCCCTGTGAACACGGTCACACAGGACAAACACAGATATGATTCCAAGCAGCTCCAGTCCTGCTGAGGGTTATAAAACCTGCTGGGGATGAAACACCCCAGGTTTTGTGAGATCCACCCACCCCAATTGGAGGGAATTAGCTCTCCAAAATTCACACTGCTGAGGAACGGGCTGCTCGGGGTGGTGGGAAGTGCTAATTTATGTCCCCTGGCTCCCTGGTTCCTTGGCTGAGAGGATGCTCTGCCACGTGAGGGCCTGGCCTGGGCTCCTGGCTCTGACTGCTCCCTGCTGCCAGGGCTCCTGGGGCAGATGGGATTCACAGGCATGAGGAAAAAGGAGATTTATAAAGGGAAAGATCTGTTTGGGGCACCCAGAGCTCCCTGTTTCCTCAGCAGCGGATGCCCCATCACTGTTAAACACCTCAGTGTTGGTGCAGGACACAACCCTACCATGGTGCCTCCTGTTCCAGACACCCCACTGGCAGCAAACCAAGACAAAAGGGGCAGAGCAGCCACCAGGGCCAGCACTGACAGTGGGGCAGGGCTCACACAGACCCCCAAAGTTAGCCAGGGGATGGTGCCCACAGCTGCCCTCAGCTGGGCTGTGCCTTCTGCTGATCCTAAGGAAAGACTGGCCAACCCCCAAACTTCAGCTCCGTGCATGAGACCAAGAAAAGAGAGAAATGTCCAGGGACTGGTTTTGCTCAGGATTTGGAGCAGCAGCACAGGAATTCTGTCTACCAGCAGATGAATGAAGAGGTGGGGTCAAGCCCCAGGGAATGTCCCTGGATTTATCAATTTTGGTGAAAATTACCCTGATTTATGGTGGGAGAAAGCAAAGGAAAAATCTGTGCCAAGGGCATGACCAGGCTAACATGAGAGTAGGGCGAGTGGCCTTACCTCTGTCACTGTGAGGGAGGGGTGGGTTAGGCAGGGGCACCTTGAAAGCCACCACAGTGGCTTGATCTGTGCCATCAGGAGGGAAGGATATGGATTTTGGGAAAGCAGGTGGCCTTTCCCCCCTGCCTGGATGGGGGATTCGACCTGCAGTGTCCTGCTCCACCAGCATGGCCAACAACACCCTCACACCCCCCATCCAGAGCTGGGGGCCACACCTGCACCATCCTCAGGGACACAGGGACCAACAAACTGCCCTGAGAGCTCCTGGAGGTCTCCCCCTCCCTCAGCCCCACCTTTGGGGTCTCACCTGACCGTTTCCTCTCAGTCACCCCCTCCTCCACTGCCAGTGGGCACGTGTCGCTCTGGGTGCTGTTCCGGGGCGAGTTCTCCTCGGATTTGCCATAGGTGGGTGAGTCCAGCTGGGCTGGACGGGGTATATGCTTTTTCTTCTTCTTTGGCAGCTTCTGCTTGGCCATGGCCAAGGAATAATACATCCCAAAGTTATTGACGATGACGGGCACGGGCATGGCGATGGTCAGCACCCCGGCCAGCGCGCACAGGGCGCCCACCACCATCCCCGACCAGGTCTTGGGGTACATGTCACCGTAACCCAGGGTGGTCATGGTGACCACGGCCCACCAGAAGCCGATGGGGATGTTCTTAAAGTGAGTGTGGTCGTTCCCAGTGGGGTCGGATGTCTTGGCTCCGATCCGCTCGGCGTAGTAGATCATGGTGGCGAAAATCAAGACCCCCAAGGCGAGGAAGATGATGAGGAGCAGGAATTCGTTGGTGCTGGCCCGCAGAGTGTGGCCCAGCACGCGCAGACCCACAAAGTGCCGCGTCAGCTTGAAGATCCGCAGGATGCGCACGAAGCGAACGACCCGCAGGAAACCCAGCACGTCCCGGGCAGCTTTGGAGGACAGGCCACTGAGACCCACCTCCAGGTAGAAGGGCAAGATGGCCACGAAGTCAATGATGTTGAGCAGGTTTTTAATGAAGAGAAGCTTGTCTGGGCAGCAGATGATGCGAACCAGGAACTCGAGGGTGAACCACAGCACGCAGACCCCTTCGATGTAGGTGAGGATGGGCTCCGTCTCCACCTTGTGGGTCAGCAGCACCGTTGTGGTGTTGCCCACCACCAAGGTCTCTGTCACGTTGACGTTGATGTTGAAGGCCTCGTGTGTCTCCAGGCAGAAGGTTGTGATGGAGACCAGGATGAAGAAAAGCGAGGCGAAAGCAACCACCTGTGAAAGTCAAAGTTACACGGGCTGTGAGCTGATGTGGGGCAGCCAGTTCTGTCTGGAGGAAGTCAAAACACTCCAGATGCTGCCACCCACTGCCCCAAGACCAAGGGTGGAGAATGAGGAGAGATTCCTGGACCACTCCCATGGGTTATGTGGGGCAACCTGTTCTGTCTGGAGGAGGTCAAAACACTCCAGGTGCTACCACCCACTGCCCCAAAACCAAGGGTGGAGAATGAGGAGGGATTCCTGGACCTCTCCCATGGATTGACAGCAAACCTCAGTGCCTGAGGCCATCAGTCCAGGACCTTCTCCAAGTTCTCTGATGTGTGCAGGAGAAGGTGTGCTGGGCTCCCCAGCTGTGCAGTGGTGGGGATGAGGGGGAACTGGGACAGTCTGGGACTGAAGCAATCTTCCAATGGGAATAGATATGAAAAGGGAATTTTGACAGGACAAATTCAACAGGCTTTCCCCCTCATTCATCACAAACCCCTCCAGATGCCAGGTTCACACTGTTCAAAGCCATGAGCTTTGGGGTCTGGATGTGTCAGAGACATCATTCACCCCCTCCCTGAGGGTCAGCGGTGGGTGATGTGTCCACAGAAGGTCCAGGACCAGGGGAGGAGCAGGCAGAGCTCAGCCTCCTGCTGCTGCCTGCACCTGGTGACACCCAGATGTTCCCATTTCTCCGCTCTGCCCAAGCAGGGAGATCATTGTCCCCTCCATGTCACCTCCTCCTCCCTTCTCCTCACCATGGATGTGAGCAAGGAGGGGCCAGCAGCACGCACTGGAAGTCACAGGCTGTGTCACAAAGTTCCCCCTTGTGCTCCCATCAATCCTGCTCAGCTCCCTCCCTCCCTCACAGCTAGCCCATTACCTGGAACATCTTTCCAAAAGCCACCCCCCAAAAAAACCCCAGCTTTGTCGCCATGATATTTTATAAAAAATCCTTCTGCCAGGATCTTTTCTCCTGAGAAGCTGACAAGCTTCACCTTCTCCATGTTTTGCTGCTTTGGAATGTGATCTGGAGAATTGTTTACCCTGCATGTGAAATCGTTTTTACTTGATGACCAATGACAGCCACCTGTGTCGAGGCTGTGAGCAGCCGCAAGATTTTATTATCATTCTTTTCCATTCCTTGCTAGCCTTCTGATGAAATCCTTTCTTTAGTATAGTTAAAATGTATAATTTTCTTTTAATGTAATATATATCATAAAATAATAGATCTGAAACATGGAGTCAAGATTCTCATCTCTCTCATCCTGAGACCCCTGTGAACATCACCACACAGCTTCAGAGCAGAAAAATTCTTGTTCCACCTCCCTGCAGCACAAAAGCCCGGTGGTTTCAGCCTCCCCAGAGCAGGTCCTGCTGCAGCCCCTGTGCTGGACGTGACCTTTTGCTGTCAGAGCCACCCAAGCGGCCGCTCCTGGTGGAGCAGCACCATGAGGCTGCTCCAGGCACAGCCCGGATCCTCGGCCGGAGTGAATCAGCAGCAGAGACAGCCTGAGTCACGCTGGAGGAACACCCGACCCCCGAGAGCAGCAGTGCCCTGTTGCAGCCCTGAGCCTGCCTGGAGCATCCTTGGGGCTGTCCCCAAGGGCAGAGCCACATGGGGCCACCACAGATAGCACCAGCCCTGCAGGAGTTGGGTGTGAAGTTTAAATCCGGTGTTAAATAATGAAGAAACATCTGGAAGATGGTTTTCCTGCCCCAGTGAGAGACACCTGCTCAGGATGCAGTGAGATGCTCTCACTCCTCAGTCAGACCCTCTGGATCACACATGGGGATTCAGCTCTGAGGGCTGACCTGTCGTGTTCAACAAACAAATCCAACACAATTGGGATCTTAAAGCAAGGCCAGCTTAAGCAGACAAGTGTCTCTACACAGTGGTGGCACAGCCAAAATAATCTGCTTTTCAGCTGAGGGCTGAGTCACGTTCCTGAGCTTCCCTGTATGGGGGATCTTGGGAAAACCTGAAGAGTAAAAATTTAGACTTAAAGCAAAGTAGAAAGGAAAAAAAAATCACCCAGGAAGGGAGGGAGACCATGCAAACACTTGAGTAATGAAGCAGCCCTGCTGCTGGGTGTGAGGTGAGACCTGATTTAGCCCAAGGAGCAAAATCAGCCTTTAAAAATAGAAGTTGGGTTCACAGCCAGTGTCAACCATTGTGTCCCCCCAGAGTGCTGCTCCAGTTCTGTGTCTGACCCATGATGTCTCACCTCAGCCTCAGTGTCTACTCCAAACTCAAGTCCTTTTCCAAAACTGCCTTTAAATTAAAATAAAATCTATGTAAAAACCCAGTACTACCAATACACACCAAACAGGTCCTCCAGAACCTGCTGATGTTCTACACAATTTTGAGCAGTGCTGATCCAGTTCTGTGTCTGACCCAAGATGTCTCACCTCAGCCTCAATCTCTGCTCCAAACTCAAGTCCTTTTCCAAAACTGCCTTTAAAATAAAATAAAATAAACTCTGTGTATAAACCCAGTACTACTAATACACACCAAACAAGTCCTCCAGAATCTGCTGATGTTTCTACACAGTATTGACCTGCACTCAACAGCTTGCCATAGGTGTCACCAAAAAATCCTGCAGAGGGGTCACCAGCCTGAAAGTCCCCATGAAAGTGAGGTCAGGACTCTCCAAGTTGGGCTTCAAAGGGAAAAAACAACCAGGAGCTGGACATAAGGAGAGTTTGGACATGGAGGTAAAATCCCAGCCAGGGCAGTTTCCCATGGGGAGGAGAAAAGCTCCAGCTGGGACAGCAGCTGCACCAGGGACCAAACACTCCCTGAGTGAGGAGCCAGGGGCCCCGTGGCCATCGATGGTGCATGGAGAAGAGGCTGAAACATGGCAGAGATTTCCAACCACCCGCTCACAGTGCTGCCAGCTCAGGAGGAGAGGTGCTGGAGGGAGGGAAAGATGGAAATAACGAGGAGCCAACTGAGCCAGGGCCCGAGGCGCTGCTCTGTGGAGAGGAGGAGCGATGACCGACCAGAGAAATTCAGCTCTGGAGACTCTTAGTCACGGCTGCTACACAGAGAGGGAGAGTTTACATGGGATTGCTGCTTCCCAAGGTTTGGCAACCTGCTGTCAAGCTGCTCCAGCAGATTCCTGCAGCCAGCAGCGCCCTGGGGCTCTGGCAAAAAAGGGGGAGACCCCAAAATGGGGTATCAAAGACATCCCAACCGCTGCTGACCTCACCCACCACCAAAGCCAGGGCAGAAGCAGGAATGTTGTACCCACATAAATCCCACAGCATCCTGGTGCTGGATGGTGGCTCCAGTCAGGAGCTGGGTGCACTCAGGAATTTGGGCTGGTTGCATTGCTCTGTGCCTCAGTTTCCCCTCTTGCCAGAGCAGTTCCCCTAAGCTGTGGTAAAACTACATTGGTATTTTTTCCTGTTGCCTCTGGAAGTTGATCGTTCCCATGGCACTGCTGAGCTGAACATTTATGGAGAGCAGTGAGAAGGAAGCAGGGAGATCCCAGCACAAACTGGTCCCACTCCAGTCCCAGCTGGGCCTCAATCACCACCATCTCTGCTCCCTCCAGCACATTCCTCCTGCTAAAGCCTTTCCAGGATCACCTCAGCACTCAGGAAAAGCAGAACCAAATGACACCAGAGGGAAAAAAAGGAGTTGAATTATTGTGCCTGGGTTTATTTTTAATTTTGTTTAATTTTTTATTTGGAGCTTTACACCACTCAGAGCATCTCTCTGAGGTGAAGAGCCCTCAGAGATGGGCAGAGGAGGGGGTACCCTTTTAAAATGGGTTCAGCTCTTGCTGCCCAAGCATTCTCTGCATGTGTGTGTGTTGCTCTAACATTTGCTGCAAAAACACCTCCTTGCCAAACTGACCCCTGCCCCGCGTGCTGCTCGTGGGTGTGAAATGCCTGCAGAATTTCTTACCATTGATGGAGTTTTTTTACACCTCTAAATGCATCCAGAATTCATCTCCATCCCAACTGCCTGCCTGGGTGTGTGTGGCAGATTTATAGGCTGGGCGTGCCAGGGGCTGGGTGGGTATTGGGGGGTCGGGGCAGAGCTTTGGGGATGATCTACGAGGAGCTGGGAGAGGAGAAACATGCGCAGAGCAGCGCCTGAGCACGGGCTGGAAGCCTGCAGACACTCTGGGGTTTGGGGGACACGTCCTGGGCACGTTGGTGCTCATGGGGAGGGACAGCCTGTGTGCCCAGGGAGAGTGCAAAGGGGTCTGGGTTTTGGGGGGACATATCCTGGGCACCTTGGTGGGGATGGACAGCCTGGGTGCCCAGGGAGGGTCTGGGTTTTGGGGGACACATCCTGGGCACATTGGTGCTCATGGGGAAGGACAGCCTAGGTGCCCAGGGAGGCTGGGGATCTGAGTTTTGGGGGACATGTCCTGGGCACGTTGTGGGGAGGGACAGCCTGGGTGCCCAGGGAGAATGCAAAGGGGTCTGGGTTTTGGGGAACACATCCTGGGCCCATAGAGAGGGACAGCCTGGGTGCACAAGGAGGGTCTGGGTTTTAGGGGGCACATCCTGGGCATGTTGGTGGCTGTGGGGAGGGACAGCCTGGGTGCCCAGGGAGTCTGGGGTGGTCTCTACTGTGTGGAAGAGCTCACATGTGCACACACACGGTGCCAGGGCCATGTGTGGTGAGGGGACTGCAGGACCCTGATGGGGTCTGTGGGGTGTCAGCAGCACCTAATGGGCTCCATGAGTCACAGGGGTGACCCTGGTGATGATAGCGGGCAGGGGGTTGCAGGGGCATGGGGTGTACTTTGGGGCTGAGGGCCCTACACATGAGGAGCACGAGAGGATCCTGTCAGCGCAGGACCTGACCCCCAGCCCTGATCTCCACTCCACACCCAGGCTGTTCAATGTGGGTTTTGGCATGGCGCAGCCCAGCAGGAGGAACCCAAACATCCTATCCTAGAGCATCCTGAAACTCTGCCAGGAGTCAGCCCTGCCAAGGACAATCCCTCATCTCCGTGTGTCCAGAAGGTGCCCAGGGAGTGCTTGAGGATGCAAAGGGGGCAGGGATTGTTCTTGCATGCACTTTCAGCCCAGATGTGATGCATTGGGAGGTGGTTGGGAGACAATGGAAGTGGTGTCTTGTAGGATGGGACATGGCTCACGTGCCCCACAGTAGGAGGGGGACAGTTAATGCAGACACTCTGGGTTTTGGGGGACACATCCTCCCAACACTCTGGGTTTTGGGAGGGCCTCATGTAACCCACCAGGAAAGCCAGCCTTGCCCTCAGGAATGGGGAGGTGAAGACACAACCCCAGCACAGCCCCATCCATCCCACCTCCCCTCTGGTGCATTTCAGGAGCTTACCCTTGCCGCCTTGGACGAGTAGGGATCCTCAAAGAGCGCCCACATCTTGGGCTGCCAGTTCCTGCAGCATCCACCCCCTCCAGCCGCCCCTGCTGCCCCTGGAGGCCTGTCATCCATGCCCAGGCGCTGCAGGGCCATCTCCCTACCCCCTTCCTCTTCAGCCTCCTCTCCAGCAGCCCCTCCGCCAGGCTCGGGACTCTCAAAGATGTCCAGGGCCTCCTCGGCGTCGCGGTGCTGCCGGTAGGTCATCCAGCAGCAGGGCTCCACGTCGGTCTCGTCGATGCCCCAGTAGGTGAGCTCCTCCTCGAAGAGGGGTCCGCAGATGTCCGCGGGGCAGTGCAGCTTCCCCGTGCGGTAGTAGTTGAGCACGTAGGAGAAGATGCCGGGGTGCCGGTCGAAGAAGAACTCGTTGCTTTTGCCATCAAAGTCAAAGTTGCTCTGGGCGTCGGGGTCGGCCAGCCAGGCCAGGCGGGTGCCCGGCAGAGTCCGCAGGGTGCTCTTGTAGGTCTCATGCCGGGTGCCGCCCACGTTGATGGTGATCTTGTCCGACTCTTCCCCTTTGCCCATCTCTTCCTTCAGGCATGTTTTGGAGGGTGGTTTGTTCCCAGACTTGCGTCCACGGTAGGAGGAGACACACACCGAGCTGATCATAGATTTCGGTGGATGGGAGATGCCCACAACGTGCACCCTTCCTCCGGGCGAGGAGCTGGGGCTCGGCCAAGGCGGGAGGGGATGACGGAGAGGGGACTGGGGAGGGGAAAAGGGGGGGGCTCAGCCTCGGCTCTGACCTCGGGGGGAGCGAGCCGGAGCCGCGCCGGACACCGCAGGCAGCCGGGGGACAGCAGGGGAGGCTGCAACCTCCACCCCCTCCAAAGCCACCCCTCCAAAATAAAACCGCCCTAAACCCGGGGCCAGCCCAGCCCCGCCGGGCAGCAACAAGTGCGGGATGGAGGGGCCAGCAGCGGGCGGGGGGCTGCGGCAGCCGCGGGGATGCGGGCCCGGCCGGGAGGATGCAGGGGAAGGGCTGGGGGGATGCCGAGCCCGGCCGGGCGCTGTGTCCCCCCCTCGCTCCCGGTACCTGCAGCGCCCGGCGCGGGGGGGCCCCGCCGCCCGCCCCTCCCGCTCCGGCGGCTCCGCGCTCCCTCCGCCCCCCCGGGCCGGGCTCGGCGAGCAGGCGGCGGCCGGCGGGGCTCGGACCCGGTTAGCGGCGGAGAGAGGGGGGGATGGATGCGCCCTCTCGGCCTCCCGCTGTCCCTCCCTGCCCGGGGGTTCACCGCTGGCCGGGCCGGGGGGGCCCTGTTGCGCCCCGGCGGTGCCTCCTCCCCGCGGGGATCAACGCGAGGGAGGCGGCGGGAGCGGCTGCGGGGCTCTGATAGCGCTGGGAGCTCGCGGTGGGGTTACGGGAACCGCGGACCCCCCGCCCCAGCGCCCAGCCCCGCAGCGCCCAGCCCCGCACCGCTGCCCTCCCTCCTATCCCCACATCCATCCCTCCCCTCCATCCCTCCATCCATCCATCCCTCCATCCCCTCCACCCCCAGCCCATCCCTCCGCCTACCCCCGGCTCCTCCGCACCCCCCGGCACCGGGCTCACCTCCCCGCGGGGCCCGGCGTGCCGCTGAGGGTCTCGGGGGGTCGGTGTCAGCGAGGAGTGAACCCCGGACACCCCAGCTCCTCTTCGCGCCGGAGGGGAAATGCAGCCCAGAGCTGCCTGCGGATCTGGAGCCAGCTCTTGGCAGAGGCTCCCGCAGATCCCATCCCTCCCTGGCTCGCAATGCCTCGCTCACCGAGAGGTCAGCAGAGACCGACCCCGGGGCCGGTGGGGAGCTGGGCGGCTGCACTCGGGGCTGACCCCCCTTCCCTCCCACCGCCCTCCCCGAGCACCTCCCCGCCCTGTTTCTGCTCCTGCGTGCGAGCTGCCCCTTTCCGCAGCGGCGGCCGGGGCTCGGGGTATCAACCACCCCCAGACCCCGGGGTCCTTCCCCTAAACCCCCATCCCTGGGGGGCTCCGAGCCCCCTGGAACGCTGCTGGTGCTCAGCTCCGGGGCTGGGCAGGGCGTGCGGGGCTGCGGTGCCCCCGGGCCGAGGCTGCCCCCAAGGTAGATAAACCCTTGTTTGCACTCATCCTGCCAGCAATGTTTACTTCTGCACTGGCACTGCTGCACTGAGGGGTGGGGGATGTTTTGGGGTCACAGAAGGGATGCAAACCCAGCACAGGCCTGGCATTGGGGTGGGGGGCTCACCCAGGAGGGGCAGCACTCAGATAGGGGGTTCTTGGGGACATGGAGGGGGGGATGCTGCCTCAGCACCCCTCTCTGCACCTCCCTGTCACCCCACCAGGGCCCCTCCTCATCCCCTGCCCAGGTTTGTCCCCCCTGTTTGTGATGCGCCCCCCAAAATCCATTGAGCGCTGGGGGCAGCCGGGGAAAACGCTCCACCCCAAAAAACCCACGAGGCACGAGAGAGCCACGCTGCGATCTTACCACCGAGAAAGCCCCAAGAAAGCTCCAAGTGTGACAGCAACTCCGCAGCTGCCAGGGCCGGCTCCGGAGCGGGTGGAGGCTGCCGAGGCTCCACACCCGAACCAGCCCGAGCTGCACCCGCGGGAGAGCCTGGAGCCCGAGGGAAAAGCGTGCTGGAAAGATCGAGCCTTGCATCACCGGCCAGGCATCGCAGCTCGGCTCCTGAGCTGGCCAGGAGTGAGGGATGCTGCGACCTGATGCTGATGGTTTATCTGTTTTATCTGCCGACTTTCATCCCGCCAGGAAAAGCTCCGTGCACCCGAGCGCGGCCGCGCCTGGGGTGGGAGGAGGTGGCCAAGCAGACAAATGAGTTGTTTCTGGGGAAGGAAGAGATCTTTTAGCCAGCAACACCCGCCCAAAGCTGTCTGCTCTCTCGAAATATGCCTTCTGGTTTTTAATGTCCATGGGAAAGGAAAAAAAAAAAAAGGAAAGAAAATAGAGAAGGAGAGAAAAGGGAAAGAGCTGGATAAATAAGGGCCTTTTTGGAGCAGGAAAGAGTCACTTCTGCAGGGATGTCCTGCGAGGTTCAAGGCATCTGAGATAACATCCAAAGGATGGAATGAAGAGCAGGGCATGGAAGATCTTGAAAAAATAAAAAAAACTAGAAAAAGAAAAAAATAGAAAATAGAGAGAGAAAAGGAGAGAAAATGGAAAGAGCTGGATAAATGAGGGCCCTTTTGGAGCAAGAGGGAGTCACTTCTGCAGGGATGTCCTGCAAGGCTCAAGGCATGTCAGATAACATCCAAAGGATGGAATGAAGAGCAGGACCTGGAAGATCTCAAAAAAACCCAAAAAAATAGAGAGAGAAAAGGAGAGAAAATAGAAAGAGCTGGATAAATAAGGGCCTTTTTGGAGGAGGAAAGAGTCACTTCTTGCCTGCAAGGCATCTGAGATAACATGCAAAGGATGGAATGAAGAGCAGGACCTGGAAGATCTCAAAAAAAAAAATAAAAAAAAGAAAATAGAGAGACAGAAAGGAGAGAAAATAGAAAGAGCTGGATAAATAAATCAGGGCCTTTTTGAAGGAGGAAAGAATCACTTTCTGGAGGAAAGAATCATGTCCTGCATGGGACACCCAAGGCTCAAGGCACTGAGATAACATGCAAAGGATGGAATGAAGAGCAGGACCTGGAAGATTTCAGGAAAAAAATAAAAGCAAAAGAAAATAGAGAGAAGGAGAGAAAATGGAAAGAGCTGGATAAATAAGGGCCTTTTTGGAGCAAGAAAGAGTCACTTCTGCAGGGATGTCTTGCAAGGCTCAAGGCACTGAGATAACATGCAAAGGATGGAATGAAGAGCAGGACCTGGAAGATTTCAGGGAAAAAAAAAAGGGAAAAAAAAAAGAAAAAAGAGAGAGAGAAGGAGAGAAAATGGAATGGAAAGAGCTGGGAAAATAAATAAATAAATAAGGGCCTTTTTGGAGCAAGGAGTCACTTTTGCAGGGATGCCCTGCATGGCTCAAGGCATCTGAGATAACATCCAAAGGATGGAATGAAGAGCAGGACATGGAAGACCTCGAGGAGGATCAGCTCTAACCTGGAAAGCCCTGGATGGGTCCTGAGGACATGGGAAGGGCTCTCTGGGTCACCGTGGCCCCTTCCCCTGAGCCAGCACAGCACCCTGAGCCTGGCCCAGGGTCCTGCACATCAGGGACAACCCCAGAGGTGGGGGGGGACCAGCAGGAGACAGAGCACAGGATGCTCAGGGGGCTGAGTGGCCCCACAGAGAGGCTGGGGACACATTCCTCTGGGACACAGAGAGCCCTGTGCCACCTCCTGTGCCCTCCCTGGGCAGTGCTGATCCTCCAGCTGTGGCAGACACTCACCCCAGTCACAGAATTCACAGAATCACAGAATCACTGGGTTTGAAGAGACCTCAAAGATCATTGAGTCCAACCAAGCTCCAACACCTCAACTGAACGCTGGCACCCAGTGCCACATCCAGGCTTTGTTAAACACCCCCAGGGATGGGGACTCCACCACCTCCCCGGGCAGAACATTCCAGAACTTTATCACTCTTTCTGTAAAAAGCTTTTTCGTGATATCCAACCTGAATTTCCCTTGGTGCAGCTGGAGACTGTGACCTCTGGTTTTGTCAGTGCTGCGCCAACATCTCCAGATGGTGCCCAAAACACCTTCCCTGCCTCTCCACAGCTGCCCCTGCATGGGAACAGGTTTGGTTCATGGCCATGGCAGCGTCCCCATGTGTGGTGCCATCTCCAGGGTGGGAATCTCATCTGGGAGCCTTCAAGGTCTGTGTCCATGGAAGGACAGAGGAGGAGGAGGATGTACTGCAGCAGTTTAGGGAGAGACAATCCTGTTTTGGTGCAGAAATAGCCAAAGAAACCTCTGCAGGTCCTTCCAGGACAGAATCTCGTTAATGAAAGATGTGCTGTCCTCAGGAACCCCTGGTTCTGAGGTCTCTGCCCTTGTGTTTTTGGTGGGATCCGTCTCTGATCTGTGCGTGGTGGCACCCAGGCTGTGATCTCCAAGAAACCTTTCTAGACTCTCTGTTACAGCTGGATCTTCCCAAAAAAAAGCTGTCACAACCCATGGACAAGCTCTGCCTCTGCCAGGTGAATTTTTCATCTACAATTCCTCATTTCAGCAGTGCAGGTTGCACTGCCAGACTTTGCATCCCCATCCCTGCATGAGCTCAGCCTGGAAGGGGAACTCACAAAATTCCCAGGTGGGGAATGCTCCCCGAATTCCCGGGTGGGAGTGCTGCCCGAATTCCCAGCGTGTCCCTGGCTCTGTCACACAGTGCCACCCTGCTCTGTCACACGGTGACTGCCACCCTGCTCTGTCACACAGTGCCACCTCGTGTCCTGCGCTCTCTGCTGGAGCCCCGGCAGGCAGAACGCGGGCGCCGGAGCCCGGCGGGGTCTGGCTCGAATCTGGCTCCATCCTCGGCATGGCTGATGCAATTTCGCTCCATAAAAGCAGCTTGGGGCCGGGAGGGGGCTGGGCTGGAGTGGGGACAGCGCTGGGGATGGTCTGGCTCCGGAATGAGCCTGAGCGGTTCCTGCGGTGGGGCTGTGCCTCAGTTTCCCTGTCTGTAAACATCGGGAGGTCCTTTTCCTTCCCGAGGTGCCCAGGAATCACATCAGAGTGTCCTTTCCCTTCCCGAGGTGTCCAGGAATAACAGCAGATGCTGCTGTAGCAGCTCCACCTCGTGTCCGAACCCATCTCGATCCCGGAGCCTGTTTTGAGATGGGACACCCAAAATCCACCCCCACATCCACAGCAGCATCCTTCACCTCCCAGCAGGCTCTGAAACCTCTCTCCATCACTGTCACGGGAAGTTCAATATTTATGGGGTTTGAAGTTCAATATTTATGGGGTTTGAAGTTCAATATTCATGGGGGTTTTTAAATAGAATGTATTCGCCTCAAATTCCACATTTGGGCCCATTTCTGTGTCGTTTTCCCAGCCCCCAAGGGCCAGAATTGCCTTTTCCTGTTTGTTTTTCTTACCTGTTTTCAGGAAGCCCCTGGCACTGGAATTTTATGGCCTCTCTCAGCCCCTGGGAGCACAGGATGGGCTGAGTTGGGCACAGCAGTGACACCACATTGAGCCCTTGGCATGGCCCTGAGCTGGGATCTCCATCCCTGCTCCCCCAGCCCTGGGCTGTGCTGGGCTCAGAGCTGCCCCAGTGTCCTGGGCATCACTCCTGGGGGATTTTACCCCCAGAGCTGGGTCCTGGATGTCCTCTGGGACAGGGAGAGCCCTGTGCCACCTCCTGTGCCCTCCCTGGGCAGTGCTGCTCCTTCAGCTTTGACAGACACTTACCCCAGTCACAGAACTCACACAATCACTGGGTTTGAAGAGACCTTCAAGATCATTGAGTCCACTCCAGCCCCAACATCTCAACTAAACCCTGGCACCCAGTGCCACATCCAGGCTTTGTTAAACACCCCCAGGGATGGGGACTCCACCACCTCCCCGGGCAGAACATTCCAGAACTTTATCACCCTTTCTGTAAAAAACTTTTCCTGATATCCAACCTGAATTTCCCCTGGTGCAGCTTGAGGCTGTGTGCTCTGGTTCTGCCAGTCCTGCCCAAAAGACCCTCCCTGCCTCCCCCCAGCTGCCCCTGCGTGGGGACAGGTTTGGTTCATGGCCATGGCAGTGTCCCCATGTGTGGTGGCATCCCCAGGGTGGGGATCTCATCTGGATCCATCTCTCCTGATCTCTTCTTTCCTTCCTCATCCTCCCTGAAGAAGCCAAAGAAGCCACGAGGGGAGGGGAAGGGAAGGGAAGGGAAGGGAAGGGAAGGGAAGGGAAGGGAAGGGAAGGGAAGGGAAGGTTTGGGAAGGTTTGGGAAGGTTTGGGAAGGGAAGGGAAGGGAAGGGAAGGGAAGGGAAGGGAAGGGAAGGGAAGGGAAGGGAAGGGAAGGGAAGGGAAGGGAAGGGAAGGGAAGGGAAGGGAAGGGGCAGCCCTGCTCCCCAGCTAACCTAAGCTAATTCCCAGCAGCTGAAGTCATCTGGGATTGCTGGAAACTGCAGGTCCTTCTGCAGAACTCAGGATGAACCAGCAGCACTGTGAGCAGGGCATTGCGCAGAGCAGCAGAGCAGTCCCAGTGCCCTGGAAAGCCAAGGTGTGCTGGTTAAACTGGGCCAGGAGGGAAAACAACCCCCACAGGCTCCTGAAGCACCCACAGACAGCTCGATCTGAGCAAAGCCTTGCAGAGGCTGATGCTGGGTGGAGGAAGGGATGAGGGGAGACAGAAGGACAATAGGGGGACAGACAGGGAAGGACAGACCTCAACACTTGCGGGCCCTTTGCTTTCTGTCTCTGCCACCCTAAAAAGACCCCAAAGCCCACCCAAGAAAGCAAAGAGAGGCACAGAAGAGACTCGATGAGGAGACGTTTGGTAAGAAGAGACTTTTAATCAGACTCTGATACAGCTCTTACAGGGTTTCTCCCGGCGGCCGAGGAGCCGGGGCGGCGCTGCCCGGCCCCGCCCGGCACAGGGGGAACTACTGCGGTACCGGGGCCGGGGACGCGCCGGATCTCTGTGCTTCACCTGTACACGAGGGTTTCGCTAGGGTTGTGCTTGTCCCACGCATCCCGCGTGTGTCCGGGGCTGTGCCATGTCCCCCCGGCCACCAAGGCCACCCCACCCCGCTCCTGCCACGCTCGGGAAGGGGGGGGGGGACCATTGGAAGGCAGTGGGAGCTGCTCCTGGGAGGTGCTGGGGATTAGTGTGACCTGTCAGGGGCTGGGCAGGAGCTGAGAGGTGAGGAAGGGGCTGGTTTGGAGGGGCTGAGCCGTGGGACACCCTGGGGATCAGCTCCACAGGCCCTCTGCCTTGTACTGGGGTCCCTGCAGCAGAGAG